AAACTGAAGTGAACCCATGTGTAACAATAAAAATGTATATGAATGATTTTTCACAGGTGCATCGTGATGAAGATGGACATGACGGCACAGTGAACTATGAAAACGTTAACGTTAACGTTAAAACGCCTTCTGCTTCTGTCAGACTCGACAACTTCCACTGCTAATAAACATTTATTCACAGCATTATTTTACATAAGACCATGAATCATAACTTAATTTTCAGGTTTTAGATGAGGTTTTGCTTATTGTATTGATGCAGGAAAAAAAGGAAAAAAGAGTTGATTTTAAACATCTCACTTGCAGTCAGAAATGAAAGCTTTGATTGGATTTTAAGAAGCTTGCTGTACTATCTCACTGATTCTGGTGATACTGGATCATATTTTACGGAGAAAATGTTTCCAGCTCGGCTTCTGCCCATCCCCCATGCCGTCCGTCCAAGGTCCTCCACTCCGCCTGAGGTCCTCCACTCCGCCCCCTTTCCTCAATTCTTCAGCTCCCAGACCACTTATCCTTGAGTCTCTCACCCACCTGGCTCACATTGAACTTTTTTGGACTTGTTTTTGAAGGGACGTCTTGGAGCCATCCCTTGAAGATGGGGGGTTTTCCCACCAATTTTCTTTGTCTGCCCCGCCCTAATAAGGTTCACCTGTGTTTAATTATCCTCCCCTCACCAGCGTATTTAGTCAGTGTGTTCCTTTGTCTCAGTTAGCAGTTTGTCTTTGTCAGTTTGGCAAGTGTTCCAGCCCTTTCCCCAGCATATCTCAGTGTTTTTGGCAATCCCCTTTTGGATTTGTTTGCCCTGTGTACTGCTTTTCTGGTTTTGACCTGTTTCTAACTTTTCTGTAAGCCTTTTTGTATTTACTCCTTTTATTAATAAATCATTTGTACTGCCCCTAGTGGTGCTGCAGAGGATGCTTCTGTACCTCCTCCCAGATTGCATCAGGGTTAACAGGCTGTGGCTGGGGTGGGTGCCGCCTTTTAGTATCCTTTAGGCTCTACGCAAGCACCTCACCTCACCACTGATGCTGGGTAGCTGATTACCAGTGAGAGAAGAAGTAAACTGTCTTTGAACTACTGGTCTAAGCTACAGAGAGCTGATTGTTTTTTGGGGGAACGCTGAACTTCAGGGGTGGGGGAGTGCTTTAGTAAATTCTATGGGTGAGAGGGCACAGGAAGTGGGAGTAAATGGTTTGTTGATGGACCCGGCAGGATTTGAGTAATGATGTAGTTTTACAAGTGACCTCTGGGGGGCAGCAATACGGCCTTTTTGTATCTAGTATGTCAAGCAATAAGAAGAGAACCAATGATCTTTTGTGACATTAATATGTTACAAATGTCAGCAATGTCTTTAACACGGCCAGGGATGTTATCAGGCCCAGCAGCTTTATTTATATTCACTCTGAGCAAGATTCTTCTCACATCCACTGATAGTGACTGACAGTAATGGAGTAGATTTTACAGTTAAATCTTTGTTGAAGAGATCCGAATAAGTATACAGTTATATATAACTGTTATCTTGTTTAACATTTATGACAGACATGGCAAAATGTGCCCCTGAACTTCATCATACGACTCTGCCATCTAAAATTACAATTGAATAACCCTGTATTAACAGCTCACAGTGAAGCTTGCGAGTGAAGGTACAGAGCAGTCACCGGAAGTTGATGATGATGATGATGATGAGATAGGTATGCTAACTTAGGCTACAATACCAAGATGTCAGATGTGCAAAAAATATATATGACATAATGTTGCCAACAAACCACAATGAAGTTTTAGTGTGAAGGAATGAAGGCATATAATGTATACGATACAAATAAGTTGTGATCCACAATATTCATCAAACAGAGGGAGGTCCTCAAAGGTGCTTTTTTTTGGTTTTTGGACACTGTAAAAATGCATCATGTTTATTGTTCAAGACAAAAAAGAATAGATAATAGTGGTGGTGTGATATTTGTCCACAATAACTTTAGATTTAATTTGCATACTCATTTCAATGAAGATCATACTTTGTAAGACAGAAATTTTTAAAATACATAACTCTCAAAGACAAAGAAGTTGTTTCTGCAGAAGGAAGCGCGAAGGGAAATTATAAGTCTAAAATAAAACAACAATAAGCAACTGACTGCTCACTAACCACACACCATTACGCCATCGTTTTAAAGCTATATACATACATATATATATATTCATTATATTTTCAGCTTGTGAGTCTTTGTGTGTGTGTGCAAATGTAGTCCTGGAGACGCCTACTGTAGAAGAACTACCACAGAAGCTGTTTTGAGTTCTTTTGCATGTGTTTATGTCCGTGGGCAGCTTTTTTAACACAATAGCATGACAACTGTGCACTATGCAGTCACAAAACTGTACAGGTGTGAAGGCAGACTTTAAAAAATACTTTTTACTACTATTGGTTGCTGTACAAGGTCACTGTTGTAAAGCATAATAAATGTGGCACAGTGCACTCTCTTCTCTAATGTCATGTGTTCCATTGCAGCATAGCTACACGCCATATTCATGGCTTGGTTACTGTGATCCCATTGCAAAATGGTTGCTCCATTAAAGGCTAAAACCACCAATGCTCTGCTGCTGCTGTTAACCACATTCTAATAAAACCCCCCAAATAACTGCAAAGCCTCAGACCAACTTCCTCTTCTTCTCAGGAGGCCATGATTATGGGCTGATATTTGTGTCAG